TGAGAGAGAGTGAGAGAGAGAGAGAGAGAGAGAGAGTGAGTGTGTGTGTGTGTGTGTGTGTGTGTGTGTGTGTGTGTGTGTGTGTGTGTGTGTGTGTGTGTGTGTATGTGTATGCAGGGGTGGTTTGTGAACTCGCGGGTCAAATTTTTGTCAGCTGGACTGTTGGCAAGAGATTTATTGCTGATGTTGATTTTCTTTCAGTTTTAGGTAAATCAAAACAAACATGTATCAACATTCACAAAGCACTTTGCTGATTTGAAGGCGCTCAAATAGACAAGTGGGATTCACTGCTGTTTTGTCGAGAAGTTTGTTTATCACGCCGGCCCGTAACTTTAAATCAATCGTCTCCCGTCAAGCCGTCACGTCGCGGAACTTCGTACGAGGACAAACCTTAGCGTGGACAAACCCAGTCATTGGACAAACCCTTGGAGTATCTATTTATATCGCACTCGGCGCGTTCAGTGATGACGTCAGTCCACTGGGCAAATCCATCGACTGCCCTCAGAGCGAATATAGCATCCATTGATTGCCAAATTGGCCTATGCGTTGCTTACGAAATCTTGAGCAGCACATACACAAGCATTATTTTATCAGCAGTACATGTATTTATCATTCAGCCTTTCTCTAAATTTCATCAGAACATTTGTCAGCATAGCACTAATCTTTTTTGTCTATTGAATTTTTAGCCACCTATAGTTCCTGTTTGATATTTATTAATCGCTTTCTCTCCACCAATAACTTACCTGGCCCGTATGAGTCTGGCCGGCGAATAGAGTTGTCTAGTGAAGATATATTATTATAGGAGAATTATAACGAGAAGAGAGTCGGGCCGACAACAATGAAGACTTACCGCTCCCTTCCCTCCCCTTTTCCACCGTCACCCCAGCTAGACACCAAGTTCTATAATTAGCATTTGCCACACTTCCCCATTGGTTACAACAGTGTTCTGAGAACTGAGAAGTACGATGAAGAGCGTTTGACAATATAATGATGGAAAACTGTTGTTTGCTAACTTTGTCCAGCTTTGTATATCGTATCTGATTGTAGACGTGATCTGCATGGGACAGCGTCACTGGTACAGTATCGACTTTTTGTCATCATACAGGACCGTTTTTTTAAAACATATATTTACAGGTTGAGTGCGCGTCGATATTGTGTGTGGGTGTGTAGAAAGTAAGTCTTTGGTTAAAGTAGATCTACTAGAGGCCAGGACCAACAGTTTATTGCTTCTCAGTCAGTTTGTTTTCTAGCACCGACTCTAGCAGTAGTAGTATTTCTTTTTCTGTGACGATCGAGAGAGAGAGAGAGAGAGAGAGAGAGAGAGAGAGAGAGAGAGAGAGAGAGAGAGAGAGAGAGAGAGAGAGATAGTGTGTGTGTGTGTGTGTGTGTGTGTGTATGTGTGTGTGTGTGTGTGTGTGTGTGTGTGTGTGTGTGTGTATGTGTGTGTGTGTGTGTATGTATGTGTGCGCGTGTGTGTGTTGTGAAGGAAGGGGGTGGGGGGAGGGAGAAAGAGTCGATGTGAATGATGGCCGGTCAGTTCTATAAACCACCAGCCGCCACTGCTCATGGCTTTTGAGGTTTGTGACCTTTGTAAAACCAACCAGGCAAATACCTGCGAGATTTAGGCTACCCAGACCTTAATATACCAGAAAATTAATAGCACCTGTGAGGTATTGTAACATTCTCTTTGCCCCGCCCGGTATAACTCGATTTCAATAGTGACAAGAAACCATTGTTGTTAATGTTCCTGTTTGACCCTATTCGCTTTTTTTCATAGATGGCTCCATGTTCTCCCCGTTTCCAAACAAGAACAGCAAGCTCACTCTCTTCAGTTCCCAACTTTACAGGTAACTTGGAATCGTTATGGACAATTTACATGATCTATCTCTTTGAGACGTCGCGTTTTGAGTCACAGAAGCAGCGGAATCATAAATTGAGCCGATAGTGCCGTAAAACACCTACTTCTCATCAAATCGAACCAGCTGAATCATAATAGCGATCGCATCACAGTTGAAACAGGAATGAAGTTTGATGCAGTTTGGGTTTAAAAAAAATGAAATGTGGTGGTTGTAATGATTATGTACTTTTGCTACTGTGAAATATCTTATCTTGTTTGAATGGGCTCAGTGATCATGTGATTGATGTAAAGCGCCCAGGGCTGATACTGTATGGGATAGCGCACTCTATAATTGCAATCTAGAATTATTATTATTATTATTATTATTATTATTATTATTATTATTATTATTATTATTATTATTATTATTATTATTATTATTATTATTGTTATTGTTATTGTTATTGTTATTGTTATTGTTATTATTATTGTTATTATTATTGTTATTATTATTGTTATTATTATTGTTATTATTATTGTTGTTGTTATTGTTATTATTATTGTTATTATTATTATTATTATTATTATTATTATTATTATTATTATTATTATCGCTGCTGCTGCTGCTGCTGCTGCTACTACTACTACTACTACTACCACTACCACTACCACTACCACTACCACTACCACACAAATTCTCTAAGTAGCATCAATATAATTTTCTTTTATCATTTTTTAAAAAACTTTAACCCCTCCAAAGTAAAGAGTGATCTAAAGGATGTCTTCATATTTTTACCTTATGCCCAATGTACACAGACAATTGGATTGATTCGGGACCAGCCAGATTTCCCTTTAATGAAAAAAAAAGGGGGGGGGGGGGTACTTTTTTGGCACAATAGGACTGATTCGACTCATGGCCTAGAAGAAACAAAAGGCGTTTGATCTGGAAGATCAGTCAAATTTAGTCGAATTGTGCCAATATAGTAGCTTTTTTGCTCCACCCGTGAAGGAAAAGCTGCCTAGCACCGACTTACTCAAATGAATTCAAATGGCAGCATGCGTTTGGTATTACTCCCACCTTACTGAAATAAAAAATAAGTGAATTCCAAATCGTTCATAGTTATTTGAAATCCAGAATCCAGTTTAAAAATTTGCCAAATTATAAAATTGTCATTATTTGTCTCACATTCAGATTGAATTACGATTTAAATCGCATTCTGTTTTTGCGAGCTACCCTTCCTCAGAGCAACCCTCGCCAGAAGCGTTAGGAGTCCATAATAAAAAGCGTAAAAAATTGTACTGTTATCTCTTTGTACAATACCCCCCCCCCCCTAAATCCCAAGCAGGGTGGTAGCGTCGGTAGCCCAGTGGTTAGACCATGGGACCCGTAATCGTGATGTTACGAGTTCTGGGGTTCGAGCGTCAGGTCAGTCCCACGTGTGTCCTTGGAAAAAGGCACATTTTCCGAATGTTCCCCACTTGGTTCAGTCTCTCCGGAGGTGGACGTTACATTCGGAGGTCCCACCTCTTTATAATCTTACAGTGTTGTGAGGGGTGTTAAATCAATACAATGTCAATTTTCTAAACAGGATGCAATGTAATTTGTCTGCGGGTAATGCAAAGGTTTGAGTCAGTACTTTGAACATTAATAAACAAGATAAATAATATGTTGATTTTTTTCAGATGGTAAAGGCAATAGTTTGAAGTTTATAAACCGGACAAAATGACCGGGGTGATTAAAGTTAAAGCAATGACAACATTCTAATTAAAACGACATAGGTGAGCAGAGGCAATGCCACTAGAAGGTTATGCTTTTTCTACATGGTGTGGTGTGCCCCTTCTTTCCTGTCAAACATCTGTCAATATTTTTCCTTCACTTTTTTTTTTTGCTTATCTCTAATAATTTCTAATCTTTGGCACTTATATGGAAACTGGGTCGATAGTGCTTATTTTACTCATTTTTGTTGCAAGTGCCTTTAAACTCTGACAAAGACAAACATTAAACATAAACTAGTGTTACAGTGAACCCATTCTGTTCATGACAAAATGTGAACGCGATCTAGCAGCACTGATTTTCAAAATATTACACCTGACTTTCGAGTGATTTTTTCACTTTGCAGAGCTTTTGATCTCAAGTTCAAAAAGTCCCTAAGCGAGAAAGGCATTGGCTGTCTTCGCTATGTCGTCCCAAACTCACAGTTCTCAAACACTACCATGGCAGGGAACATCACAGCATCTTTTCTGAGCGATGCAGCTGACGCAGCTGACGATGGTTTCAGTCATCTCATAGATGGCAGTAAGGAACTAGGGAAACAGAACAACTTTATTCCCAGCAAAGCTCATGGTACTCGTACTGAAGAAGACGGTCTGTGGAGTGACAAAGTGACAAAGATAAACAAGAATGACAAGGATGATAATGAAGAGAATGATGATGAGGATGATGAGGATGATGAGGAGAAGGAGGAGGAGGATGAGGATGAGGATGAGGATGAGGATGATGATGAGGATGATGATGATGATGATGATGATGATGAAAGTGAAGGGAAGAGAGGAGGTTTTTGTGTGCCAAAATGTCTGCCGAACGGCGTTTACAGTCTGGAGTCGGTCAGTGATGGTGAGTGCTTTCTTTTAGTTTACTCAACGAGATATGGAAGAGGTTATGTGTCTTGAACATCTAGCTTTCACTGACCAAATAAAAGGAAAACGAGGCAGGGGTAGACCCAGAGCAATCTACTTGGGGAACCTAAACAAATGGGTAACAGGGAAAGATCAGGGAAACGTATATTTTTTTAAAGAGCATCCGAGCGAAGGTAGGAATGAATGGAGAACCAAGATCCCCGATGTCTGTCGCTGATCTGGCACTGGTTGATGTGCGGTAAGGCGCTTCGCAGTCACACGCTGGAGACCCGTGTTCGATTCCCAGTTAGGGAGCAGTATCTTGGTCTAACTGCTGGGATGTTGTATTCCTCTGAGTTTGGGTTGGCCCCAACTGGCAGGGTCGGCAGCCTGCCTCCTAAATTTATATAACTTTTGTCGACCTACATTAAATTAAGCAGAAGAGGCTATGTGATGATATGCCTCATTGAAGACCCACAGTCTATTCATTAGCCATTAAGACAACGCGTTAAGAGTTGCTGTTTCAGGGGGCAACATTTTTGTTTGAGGGTGTTACTGGTAGGCCCTATTTCTTAATTTCTCTCTGTTCCTGTCTAATCTTTTTCGTAACTCTAAATGACCAATGTTGTTTCGAATGTTTTTTAGATACTCAAACAAAAGCAAAAGCAAAAACAAAACAAAAGCAAAACAACAGTTTCCCCTTTATCTGAAACTTTGAAAGGCATGCAGCAACTTGTATGTAACGAAATATGCAAATTTTATGTTTCTGATTTGTGTATGGTGGTTCGAAATATGCAGAAATATTTACTTATGGTTTGCTACAGATCGGACGCTTGTGTCTATGTCCTATACAGAGGTAATATGTATTATATCATCGTCATCATCATCAGTGCCTTTCACCCCTGACAAGGTATAGGCCACATACTAGCTCCTTCCATTTATCTGTCCTGGGCCATCCTTCCTAGCTCGTTCCAAGTGAGCTTCATCTCTCTCATATCCCTTTCCACACGTCTCTCGTGGCCTACCCTCTCCTCGTTTGTGTACATGGATTTAGAATATAACATTTCAAAAAGCAGGTTAAAAAAAATAGTTTGAGAGATTTTTATTCATCACTTGGAGCACCTGGCCTGCCCTCGGACGCTCTTGTGAGTGCATTTGTATGTGTGAGTGTGGATGTGTGTGGGGGGTGTGGTTGTGGGGGTGCGGGTTTCGGTGTGGTGGGTGTGGGTTTCGGTGTGGTGGGTGTGGTTTTGGGTGTTTAGGGAGTGTAGGGTCTGTGTGGGTGTGTAGGGTCTGTGTGGGTCTTTGTGGGTCTGTGTACGTATGTACTTGTGTAAAAAATAAGGATGATAGATGTTGAAACACCAAAGCACCCGCCTACCACCCACTCTCCTATTCTTTGTATGTCACTCTATAGTATCGCCGTGGGTCGTTTGAGGGTGCCACTGCTTGGTCTTACTTCTTTAGTTTCCCTCTATTGTTGTCTTTTCCCCACCACTAAATGACCATTATTGTCCATGTGCTTCTCTTTACTCAAACTATAGCACCACCTCTTATCTTCGACACCTAATTAACTTGTGTTGTAAGTACCGATAAACTCTTACCAAAGCTAAAAACGGATCCTCCCTTTCCTCATCCCCTCTCTCTATGTGGTTGGAGGGAACCACGAGCAGGTCCAGTTTCTTTTCTTTCCCTCTATTGTTTCTGTCTGTCCATTACGTTCATTCCTGCACTAAACGACTTACTGAGTCGATGTGCTTCTCCATACGCAAACAAACAGTGGGTGGATGGCGGGTACTCTAGTGTGGTTTGCTCCTTCTTTCCTTTCAAACATCCATCGTCCTGATCTCTCCTTTTTTGTGTTTGTTACTCTAATCTTCGGCGCTTATATGACCTTATTGTGTTGCAAGTGCCGTAAAACTCTTACTAAACAAAAGAGCAAAACAACAACGAACAAACAAACATACATCCCTTCTCACGCTCTCGCCCCCCCCCTTCCCCCCCTCCCAATTTCTCCCAGGAGCACCCCTGTACGTGTCCCTGCCACACTTCCTGGGCGCGGACCCCGTATACTCCCACAGCATAGAGGGATTGTCCCCCAGCGAGGCGGCACACCGGCCCTTCTTTGACGTTGATGACGTGAGTAGAACATTATAGTATAGCTTGTCCCAACTCAAATAGGCAAACTGGCCCGATGGTGCCGCAAAATACCTACTCAAACAATCAAAACAGGTATTTTTGAAAAGTCAAATTTTGACTGCCTTCACGGATTTTTATCAAACCTTTACCATTTTTTTTCCTGATGACTTTTGACTACCTATACCGATTTCTATCAAACTTTATAATTTTTATATATAACTGTTGACTGCCTGCACCGACTTTTATCGAAGTTTCATCAGTAATCTTGTGTCAGTAATGCTGTAATGGATCTACTCAATCAAGTCAAACGAGTAATCTGGTATCAATCCGTCTAAATTGACCACATGTAAATGGTACTGGTACAAATATTAAGCACTGTTTTCTCTTTGTCATTGTTAAATAACTGAATTAACCATTAATGTGATGGCTTGCACTTCACTTTAATAAACCACGACGTTCATATTTTCAACAAACTTAAAACGTATAAGGGGAGGGTTGCTTGAGCAGGTGGGTGGTTGGCTGGTACTATGTTGTGGTTTGTTCCTTCTTTCCTATTACACATCTATTGTCCTTATCTCTCCTCCTTTTTGTGCTTGTCACCCTCTTGTAACACCGAATTTTCTGCACTTATATGACATTGTGTTGCAAGTGCCTTAAACAAAACACCTTTTGTGTTTACTTTCTTGTAACACCGCCAATCTTTGGCAACCCCCCGGGGCAGTGCCACTGACTGTAGTGTCTTTAGGCCATTCCCAAAGGGGGGACATTTCTCGTTGAAGCATAGTAGAATTGTAAATGGGCTGACTCATGTCACGCTCATAACTGTGCCTGATCTACAACAGGGAACTGCTCCCTTTTCTTTCTTGATCCTTACTATTGTCATTTCCCTCTACTTCTTTTGTATGTTTGTCACTCTTTTGTGACCTGCTATTTCCAGGGTGCCTTGATAGTTGAAGCAGACCTTGTGCTGTTGAAGCTAGATAAGTGAGCAGTCTAAGTCTGATTCCCTGTAAAGACTTCTCTGTTGACACCCACCCCTTGGTGCTCATATGACCTTATGCAGTTGCGAGCGCCATAAAACCCTCTATTTAAAAAAAATCGTTGGCACTTATGTGACCTAATTATGTTGCATGTGTTGCAAAACGCTTACTAAAACTAAACATAAATGCCTGTTATGTTGCAAGTACCGTAAAACTCTCACAAAAAGTAAACATAAATGACTCAGTTATGTTGCACGTACCGTAAAACTCTCACAAAAACTAAACATAAATGACTCAGTTATGTTGCACGTACCGTAAAACTCTCACAAAAAGTAAACATAAATGACTCAGTTATGTTGCACGTACCGTAAAACTCTTACTAACAACACTTAATATAAACGACTTTGTAATATTGCAAGTACCGTAAAACTCTCACAAAAACTAAACATAAATGACTCAGTTATGTTGCACGTACCGTAAAACTCTCACAAAAACTAAACATAAATGACTCAGTTATGTTGCACGTACCGTAAAACTCTTACTAACAACACTTAATATAAACGACTTTGTAATATTGCAAGTACCGTAAAACTCTCACTTAAACAAATTGCCCAGGTGACCGGGGTTCCATTGAGCCAGCAGCGTCGACACCAGCTGAACGCGAGGCTCCCGGGGTACAGCGGCGATGAGCTCGGCACATTTGTGCCATTATTCTGGGTGGATAGCGTGAGTGGTTTGATTGAGGTGTGGTTGTTGATGTCACCGTTGTTTTTTATGTTGTTGTTGTTGTTGTTGTTTTTGATGTTGTTTTTTTATGTTGTTGTTGTTGTTGATGTTGATATTGTTTTTGGTGTTGTTGTTGTTGTTGTTAGTGGTGTTGGTGTTGTTGTGTCGTCGTCGTCGTTGTCGTTGTCGTTGTCGTTGTCGTTGTCGTTGTCGTTGTCGTTGTCGTCGTCGCTGTCGTCGTCGTCGTTGTTTACTTTTCATAACGACAGATGGTTGCAGGGCGCTCTTGTAACACCTCTAATCTTCTGGCGCTCATATGACCTTATGCAGTTGCGAGCGCCGTAAAAACCTCTACTAAAACTAAAACTGTTTCTTCCTACTGTTAAGTGTTGACAGGGGCGTTAAACCCAAACAATTTCACCATTTTTTTGTTTCCTACTGTATCAGTTGACGTTTTTCTTTGTTCTTCGAATGGGTTGTAATTTTTGCTGTTGCTGTTGTTGCCGTCGATACCGTTATTGTTGTCGTCGATACCGTTATTGTTGTCGTTGCCTTTGTAATCGTTATTATTGTTATCGTTATTATTGTTATCGTTATTATTGTTATCGTTATTATTGTTATCGTTATTATTGTTATCGTTATTATTGTTATCGTTATTATTGTTATCGTTATTATCGCTGTTTTTCCTATCAACCATGTACTGTCCCTATCTCTCCACTTTTGGTTTTTGGTTACTCTACTGTAACACTTCTATTCTTCGGCCCTAAGCGACCTTATTGTGTTGCAAGAGCCGTAAAATGTACTAAAACTAAAAAACTGTTGTTGTTGTTGTTGTTGTTGTTGTTGTTGTTGTTACTGTTGTTGTTGTTGTTGTTACTGTTGTTGTTGTTGTTGTTACTGTTGTTGTTGTTGTTATTGTTGTTGTTGTTATTGTTGTTGTTGTTATTGTTGTTGTTGTTATTGTTATTGTTGTTGCCGTTGTTGTCGTTGTTGTTGTTGCCGTAGTTGTTGCTTTTGTTGCCCCTATTGTTGTTGTTTTTGTCGTTGTCCAGTCGCAGAAGTGCTTTATGGTGTCAATTCTGTCAACATGTCTTTCAAAATTACTTCATTATATCTTGCCCTGCTTCCCGAGGAAAACGACATGTCCTTATTCCGGCGGTCAGAGTACATGGCACTCGGAAAAGGGAGAGGGGTGGGGGGGGGGGGGTGGACATAGTCGGGCTATCCAATTCTTTTGTTCCAGTGACTACGTATATCTTTGTAACACTTGAACTCAGAAAGCCTAGGATCGGCCTATAACTAGACGCTGAGAGTTAGTAAAAGAACATATAGGCCTATTAATTATATGTGAAATGGTATAGGTCTAGCGCCCCTTGTAACACTGTCAGGTTGTTTTAGAGACTTTTTTTCTACCACGCATCTATCGTCCTTAGCTCTCCTCCCTTTCTTTGTGTGTTACTTTCCAGCAGTAGCGCATCTAATTTGCGGCACTTATAGAGCCTATTTGTGTTGCAAGTGCTTTGAAACTTTTACTCACCCCCCCCCCTCCCCCCCCCGGGGCGGTGCCACGGACTGTAATGTCTTTAGGCCATTCCCAAAGGGGACATTTCTCGTTCAAGCACAGTAGAATTGTAAGTGGGCTGATTCATGTCACGCTCATAACTGTGCCTGATCAGGGAAATGCTGCTTTTTCTTTCTTAATACTTACTATTGTCATTTTCCTCTACTTTTGTGTATGTTTGTCACTCTCTTGTGATCTGCTATTTCCGGGGTGCCTTGATAGTCGAAGCAGACCTTGTGCCATTGAAGCTAGAGGTGAGCAGAATAAGTCAGATTCCCTGTAAAGACTTCTCTGTTGACACCCACCCCTTGGCGTTCATATGACCTTATGCAGTTGCGAGGGCCGTAAAACCATCTACTATAAAATAAACAAAAAACTTTTACTAAAGCTAAAACATAACAGCCGGTGGTTGGAGGGCGTTAAAGGGTAGGGCCTACTTCTCTACGTTCCCTCTGTTGTTTCTGTCTCTTACTTTTTCCCAGGACTAAAGGACCATAATTGGGTCGACGTGCTTTTCTTTACTTGAACAAACTAAAACATGCGGGTAGTTGACGGTTGCACTTGTGTGGTTTGCTACTTCTTTAATATCAAGCATGAAAACTATCGTCCTTATCTCCCCTTCTTTTTTATGTTTGTTACTCTCTTGTAACACCTAATCTTCTGGCGCTCATATGACCTTATGCAGCTGCGAGTGCCGTAAAACACTAACTAAAACTAAAACTAATATAAAGCATATGTCGTCCTTCTCTGCTCTTCTTTTTCTTTGTACATATGTATGTTATTCTCACAAGCGAGCTAACTCCTTTATTTCTGGACCTAGAAACCTTAAATTTGGCATACAACTTCGTCATGATACAGGTATTACGATGAAAAAAAAAATTTCCAGGATGCAAGATGGCCTATGGCGGCCATATTGGATTTTCACATCATGTTTTCAAATCAATACTCCTCTGAAATTTACCGATGGATTTTATTGTCCTTTGGCACACATGTACCCAAGAGGCATATAAGTTAAACATAGTCAGTATCTTTTGATATCTTATTTCGTTTCGGAGTTACAGGAAGAAGTGTGCAAATCTTGTCAAAAATGTAGAAGACGGTCAATTTTCCAAAATTTTTCAATCATAAAATGAAAACCAAGATAGATATAAAAAAAACGCTGACTATGTAATGTAACCACTTCTAAGGGCAACAAGTACGCCAAGTGCCATCAAGATACACCTGTAATCTTCAGATAAGTTTCGAAAAATGTGTCAAAAATTAAAAAATCAAATATTTTGGACAAAAAATGAGATACCTCTCTAATTAGTAAAGATAGAATAACAATGTAAGAAGAAAAAATGTTGGGCATCCAACTGGCTACGATTGTGCCAAAGGACAATCAAATCAACAGAGAAATGACTGAGAAAAGGCAAAAAAATATTGTAATACCCAATTTGACCCAGATTGACCAAAAATAGGTGTGACCCCCCCCCCCCCCCCCTTAAAGAAACAAACTAAAACATAGGAACTGAAACGTTTTAAAGAAACAAAGCTAAAACATAGAACTGAACCGTTTTAAAGAAACAAAGCTAAAACATAGGAACTGAAACCTTATTTCCTCCAGGGAAACAAACTCGACGACGAGAGTGTGTCAAAGATCAAAACTGCACACATGACATACCGCGCCCTTCAGACGCTGCTTCTGTTCGCCTTGGGACTTGCTGTTGTCTCGTGGGTCTTCATCATCGCTATCATTGTGTCACGAAACTGTTCCAAAAAGGAGTGCTGAACCCCTCGCTGAAAGGTGAGTCCAACATGTGCCTCAAGGGCCCCCCACACACAACCCGTGCATAAAGTTGGCCATGACAGGAAACGCCAAAGCAGCCCGCCTCCTATGATAGCTGATGTAAATGTGGGAGAAAGTTTTTACAATTTAGTTTCATCGCCTAACTTGTAGCCTGCCTTCACGCTCCTTAAAGTTCCAAAAAATAGATGTTTGTGCTACCTGTGCCCCGATGGGACTTTGAAATTTAGGAGTAAGGAAGTGGGTGGTTGGCGTGTGCTCTGTTGTGGTTTGCTTCTTCTTTCCTATCAAATACGCTCGTCTTTATCTTCCCTCATTCTTTTTGTGTTTGTTACTCTCTTGTAACACCTAATCTTCGGCACCTATATAATATGACCTTATTGTGTTGCAAGTGCCGTAAAACACTAAGGAGTAAGGAAGTCACGAGAAACGTAGTGAAATTCTTGCCTTATGTCAATGTACCAGAGTATAAAGCAAGACAGGTCATATCACTCAGAATCTATCGATTAGCAACGGTGTGAACACCATAAAAAAGCTTTAACCCCCCAATAGAAGCGGATGGTTGACGGATGCTCTGATGTGGTTTGCCCATTTTTTCCTGTAAAACATCTTTTATTCCTCCTTTATCTTATTCCTTAGTAACAGCCATCTTCGAAACCTATATTGCCTATTTATGTTGCAGTTGCGGTATAACTTTTATGAAAACTCATGTTTAATGTATAAAAAGGTATCTAATTTGACTCATTTGTTTTCAGGTGACGCGTGTGTCGTCGAGGTCTCTGCTTACCTTGTTGCTCAAGTCTAACTTCGTGAACAGTGGTTTAGAGAGACCTGACAGAAGGTTTAGAGAATTTTTATGCTCACATTCTTATGCTATTATTTTTCTTTCGTTTCACAAAAGGACGATTCCTGTCAATCTGCAGTGTTTTCTTATCACCTCAAATCGCATTCATTCTAACTTTCAATGATTATTTATTGTGGGTTTTCTTTGAATTCGAAAATTATTTGATTGAAATAATTTATGGAAGTTGCTTTTGCCGATCGCTATTTTTCCTTACAGCTGTATATGTATATATGGAAGTTGTGACGTTGTGGTGGGTCGCTTGTTTGTGCCTTGTGTTTTCCCTGTCGAAGTCATTACAAACTATCGTATGTTTGGATATTTGCACAGATGGCCACATTTGATTTGTTGTATGTACTTACTGGTAAACTGAAACGTTGTTTTTGTTTCCCGTTCATCTTGTATCTAAATAGTTAATTTCTATTAATCTCAGACTAGCCACTCTCCTTTCTATCGTTGTAACTCCCATTTCCACATGAAAAATATAGCAGACCGCAAATGATTTAACATGGTGTAGCGGGTGGTTGTAAGTCCTACTTCTTTACTATCCCTCTGTTGTTTGTCTTACTTTTTCCCACCACTAAATGATCATTGTTGTGTCGATGTGGTTCTTTACTCAAGGAAAAGAAATAACGTGGTATATACGCGCATTTTTATTCTATATAGCATTGATGAGTCGTTTTCTGGGACACCGGAAATGGACTTAGCATGGATGTTTCTAGCGGAGATTGTTGAAGAGTGCGGTGTTACACTCATGTCTTTGAGTCAAAGGTCAAAGTGCTGCCAGCAGAATTTGATCACAGTTGCATATTTGACTGTTATTTGACGTTTCTTCCCCATTATGTTCTACTGACAAACACTTTTGTCAGATTTCTATGCCAAGACGAAACAACCTTACGTAATATGCTTTCTAAATGTCTCGTTAACGTCGAAGCTGAACGCAGATTTTGAAGCTTAAAAATGCTTGAAGCCTCGCTAGATCTGCTTTGTTATGAATAAAAATATTTATATATTTCAAGGTTGTGTTGTTTCTTTATCTTTGCTCACAAAAAGTATTCCGAAAAACATTGTTTCACTGGTTATTTGAAAGGTTGTAGTTTTTTTTAAACAAAGAAAAAAAAATCCCTTTGAAGATCCGAAACTAAAAAAAGTAGCAAATGGTTTTTAACATGTCTTGGGTCTGTGTAGACCTACCTTTTTATGATGAACAGTAGGACAGTTTTTCGTGTGGTTTATCCACATTTGCTAGTTTCGGTGGATCTTTCACATTTATCAAGGTCCAGTTCCGATAGCTATTTAAAAATAAGAAAGTACAGAGAACGTGGTTTTAGTCTTTCATGACAAGTGTCAGTTATATAGTGATATGCTGTTCTCACGGTTTTAGATTTCCAGCCATGGACAAGGCACTTATGAAAAAAGTAAAGATGTGTACCTGTGCGATAGATATCAAAATACTAAGAAAATACTTAGTAGCGTTCGAGTTGTAGGAAATTTCTCACTTACTTCTTCAAATCCATGATCTTAGGTTGAGAGACTATTCTACTTGAGTCTTTTAAAAAAGGGTGAGAAACTTGGACTACCGGAGTCTGCTTTGTTTGGGCCTACCCTTTTTCTGTTTTTCCTTCCTTTTATTCCGGCCTCTGTAAGGTGACGGTGTGTGTGCAGGGGAGAGGCAAACGTCTTTTTCTTGTTTTTTGTGTCGCTTGTTGCTTGGGTGTGACGTCAAGTGTTACTCTGACTTCTGTATCCATCTGTTCCTGCCTCTTCCCCTGGATCCACCTGGTCCTACCTATTCCCCTGCACTGTATCCATCTGTTCCTGCCTCTTCCCCTGGATCCACCTGGCCCTGCCTCTTCCCCTGTACTGTATCCATCTGTTTCGGTGGGTGGTTGGCGGATGCTGTGGTGTGGTTTGCTCCTTCTTTCCTATAAAAAAAAATCTATCGTCTCTACCTCCGCTCCTTCTTTTTTTTATGTTTGTTACTCTCTTGTAACACCTCAAATCTTCGGCACATATATGTTCTTATTGTGTTGCAAGTGCCCTAAAACTCTTACTAGAAAGAACATCTGTTTCTGCCTCTTCCCCTGAACTGTATCCTTCAGTTCCTGCCTCTTCCTCTGTATCTATCTGATCTCTGGTTGCATAATCTTGACGCTGTATTGTCTGGTGGTAGTCTTGTCAGAATGTCTGAACCAATTTATACGTTGTTTACTTATGTACTCCTTGCGCGGAGTCGATCCAGCTTGTTCAGTCCTATCAAGATCTTAAGGGGTGTCAGCCTATAAAGTTAATCCACAGCAGCTATTCTGCACTAAAGGGAATGTGTTAACTTTGTGGCATCATGCTGTACTACAGAGCGGGTGGCCCTGGTTCGAATCCTAGACTGGGCGTAGAATGAACTCAAGTTGTTTTGTGGAGCTTTCAAGGCTCGGTCTGATCTGAGATAAACATAAATTCGGAGGTCACGTCTCTTTAATAACCTAATAGTGTTGGTAGGGGCATTAAACCCATGTACTTACTTTTCACGTTGAGAACGATCAGGGGCAGAAACTCTGCATCAACTTAACTCGCATCAGGAGGGTGCAGGGATTACCTCCCATTATGTCCAGGCCGTAGGAAACAATAAAAATTATTGAAGATTCAGTAGCAATACGAAGGAAAGTAATGCATCTTTTTTTTCTCTTTAAAATGCCCCTAAACCACAGCGACTTCGATGTTGTCGCAGGGGGTTGGATGGCGCCACTGGTAGGTCCTACTCTTTCGCTTTCTCTTCGTTGTTTGTCCGTCTTGTTTTTTAAGCATACAATGACCTTTATTGTTTCGATGCGCTTGTGCTTGCAAATGCAAAAGGTCATATGTGGGCACGGGACTTTTAATTTGGTAAGAATTATTTTTTAAATTTTGTCCGGGTGACGGCCGAAGCCTACTCTGATCGATTTTGGGATCATCAAATGATCTTTAACGTACACTACGTGCACACGGGACCTCCGAGATTTAAAACCTACCCCAAGATCAGGGGTGTGGCTGAAAGAGACAGGAGTAACAAAGAGCTAGGAGCAGCAGTGGAGCCAGGAGCTCAGAGGAGGGGGCAAGGGGGGGGGGGCGGAAAATGGAGTTAAAAGCTGATGACGGAACACGATTAAAGAGCAGGGAGGAAGGGAAACGAGAGGAAATTATGGAGGACTAAATTTTTTCCGTCTCTGTCAAGTTTTGAAACCAGAACCTTTTGAATGAGAGGTGAATACCGTAGGTCTACCTATAGACCACGAGAGCCCCGCCCCCCCCCTTCCTCCGTGCAAATTTTTACTCAACCAACCTATCAAACAGGCAGGTGCCATAAAACTCTTACAAAAACCTAACCCCCC